GGGGGCAGACCGTGAAGGGGGGTGGGGGGGCGGACATGCCGGCATATTACAAGTGAGCTCGGTGGTATCGCCCGGATCACTTGTAGGAGATGATCTGCAGCTCCCCCGCTCTATATTCAGCTCTGAATGCACAGAACCCGGCGCCCAGGACTGCCTGTCCTGCGATATGAATTCCACACCTCGGGTGCCGGCTCTTTATACTTACAGCACTGGTTTTATGACAGGTTCTCTTTGTCTTACAGCCGCATATACTGACTCTCCCTCCCCCGCTCTGGTCAGCCACCAAGACTGAAGTGAAAGACCTGTGCTTACATAGGGCTGTGGACTCCTGATTGGCCCAGCGCTGTCACATGGGGCAAATCACATGCTACTCCACACATTGCTGGGAGAGGGAGCTGAGCTCCTGTGTCACTGCTGGGAGAGGGAGCTGAGCTCTGGGGTCATTGCTGGGAGAGGGAGCTGAGCTCTGGGGTCATTGCTGGGAGAGGGAGCTGAGCTCTGGGGTCATTGCTGGGAGAGGGAGCTGAGCTCTGGGGTCATTGCTGGGAGAGGGAGCTGAGCTCTGGGGTCATTGCTGGGAGAGGGAGCTGAGCTCTGGGGTCATTGCTGGGAGAGGGAGCTGAGCTCTGGGGTCATTGCTGGGAGAGGGAGCTGAGCTCTGGGGTCATTGCTGGGAGAGGGAGCTGAGCTCTGGGGTCATTGCTGGGAGAGGGAGCTGAGCTCTGGGGTCATTGCTGGGAGAGGGAGCTGAGCTCTGGGGTCATTGCTGGGAGAGGGAGCTGAGCTCTGGGGTCATTGCTGGGAGAGGGAGCTGAGCTCTGGGGTCATTGCTGGGAGAGGGAGCTGAGCTCTGGGGTCATTGCTGGGAGAGGGAGCTGAGCTCTGGGGTCATTGCTGGGAGAGGGAGCTGAGCTCTGGGGTCATTGCTGGGAGAGGGAGCTGAGCTCTGGGGTCATTGCTGGGAGAGGGAGCTGAGCTCTGGGGTCATTGCTGGGAGAGGGAGCTGAGCTCTGGGGTCATTGCTGGGAGAGGGAGCTGAGCTCTGGGGTCATTGCTGGGAGAGGGAGCTGAGCTCTGGGGTCATTGCTGGGAGAGGGAGCTGAGCTCTGGGGTCATTGCTGGGAGAGGGAGCTGAGCTCTGGGGTCATTGCTGGGAGAGGGAGCTGAGCTCTGGGGTCATTGCTGGGAGAGGGAGCTGAGCTCTGGGGTCATTGCTGGGAGAGGGAGCTGAGCTCTGGGGTCATTGCTGGGAGAGGGAGCTGAGCTCTGGGGTCATTGCTGGGAGAGGGAGCTGAGCTCTGGGGTCATTGCTGGGAGAGGGAGCTGAGCTCTGGGGTCATTGCTGGGAGAGGGAGCTGAGCTCTGGGGTCATTGCTGGGAGAGGGAGCTGAGCTCTGGGGTCATTGCTGGGAGAGGGAGCTGAGCTCTGGGGTCATTGCTGGGAGAGGGAGCTGAGCTCTGGGGTCATTGCTGGGAGAGGGAGCTGAGCTCTGGGGTCATTGCTGGGAGAGGGAGCTGAGCTCTGGGGTCATTGCTGGGAGAGGGAGCTGAGCTCTGGGGTCATTGCTGGGAGAGGGAGCTGAGCTCTGGGGTCATTGCTGGGAGAGGGAGCTGAGCTCTGGGGTCATTGCTGGGAGAGGGAGCTGAGCTCTGGGGTCATTGCTGGGAGAGGGAGCTGAGCTCTGGGGTCATTGCTGGGAGAGGGAGCTGAGCTCTGGGGTCATTGCTGGGAGAGGGAGCTGAGCTCTGGGGTCATTGCTGGGAGAGGGAGCTGAGCTCTGGGGTCATTGCTGGGAGAGGGAGCTGAGCTCTGGGGTCATTGCTGGGAGAGGGAGCTGAGCTCTGGGGTCATTGCTGGGAGAGGGAGCTGAGCTCTGGGGTCATTGCTGGGAGAGGGAGCTGAGCTCTGGGGTCATTGCTGGGAGAGGGAGCTGAGCTCTGGGGTCATTGCTGGGAGAGGGAGCTGAGCTCTGGGGTCATTGCTGGGAGAGGGAGCTGAGCTCTGGGGTCATTGCTGGGAGAGGGAGCTGAGCTCTGGGGTCATTGCTGGGAGAGGGAGCTGAGCTCTGGGGTCATTGCTGGGAGAGGGAGCTGAGCTCTGGGGTCATTGCTGGGAGAGGGAGCTGAGCTCTGGGGTCATTGCTGGGAGAGGGAGCTGAGCTCTGGGGTCATTGCTGGGAGAGGGAGCTGAGCTCTGGGGTCATTGCTGGGAGAGGGAGCTGAGCTCTGGGGTCATTGCTGGGAGAGGGAGCTGAGCTCCGGGGTCATTGCTGGGAGAGGGAGCTGAACTCCTCAGTCACTGTTGGGAGGATGGATGCTTCCATCAAAGGCCAGAGGTTGTTCCCCGTTAACAATCTTTGATGTGATTAAGGATTGGAAGAGGTTTTGTATGATTTGGGATTGGAGGTGACGGAACAGCCGCTCTCACCCCCCCAAACGTCAATAATCATTGCATAGCGAGCTGCTCATAGAGCCTGCTGGCAAGGCAGCTGTCATATGGAGTCTGGCCACTAGAGGTCAGCATTGTCCTGATGATTACAATGCAGAATTGTTGTTTCCGTAGCGACCTCTAGTGGAAGAAATGGATATGACTTCCGTCTGCTCTATACAGAATCTTTCATACGGCGGCCGCCATTGCTCACACATTTATCTCCTGACACACTCAGTCTATGGTACTTCCTGTGTCAGTGACTCAGAACAAGTATG